GGTCTTTTGTGTGATTAAGGTCAATTTCTGTAATTGCCTGTTTTTAAGAGAAATTCTGTGGTTTTCTGTGAAACACAGAAACCGACGTCCCTGACCAGAAGTTACAAAATCTGAAACAGAAGACATACGTCCCTAATTCTGTTACAGAAGAACTTACGGAATCAATAAAATCTGGTCCAAGTGAAAATCTACACAAGTCGTTATGCAAACAGTAAATATGTCTACTACCGTTAATGGTAGTAATAAATGGGACACCTCACGGTTTGCTGAACATAATAAGGGTCGAGCTATCCGTACATCTCAATTAACACAAGCACATTCTCACACATCAAATGCTCGAGACGCACCAAGAGATCGGAATTCTAATCGAGGTATTTGTGTAATGAATGTTAAACAACAGCAGGGAGCAGTCCGAACGTATGCCAGAATTATTTATCTAATTAGCATTAGGTTAGGGTGTTTGGATTAGAACTGTTTCTAAAAAATTGGGACTACACCTTGATGCAGTTTTATTTTTGAGATTAATTGCATTCAGATATATACTTAATGAAAAAAAAACTTGTTTTTATAGTGTTATCCCTTTACGTCAAAGTTAGTAATAAGCAAATGGATCATCGAGCACTATTAAGCGCGTTTAGTCATTTCGGGCCTGTAAAAAATCTTGATGTTGTGCCCGTTAAAGTACGTATCTTTTACGAAACTCTTACATTAATTTTATTTAATTATTACTATTCTAATTATTCATTCGGATTATTGGATAGTCATGTGCTTTTGTGGAATTTTATTCCCAAGATATTTATCGGCAAGTACTCCAGCAAAGAGAGATTTTTGTTCCCGGTTTTGGAGATGAAACTGTTGTAGTCGAAGAACGACAAGAACGTCGCAGGGACAATAATAACCGATATCGCAATCGGCAGAGCGATGACAATTATCAACGTAATTATAGTCAAGCTCTATACAATACACATAACGGAATGAATTCACAACGTAGAGGTAATGGTTGGATTCTGATACGATTCGGATACTTTTATGATTATCTGTTTGGCATTTTTAAATCTGAATAGCATCCGAATAACATTTTGATAGTATCCGGTTATCTAGATAATCTTTTGATCATGAAATAATAGTAGGGTATATATTTAATTTTTTACAGGTGGATCTCCAGATTATCGATTTGAAAGAAACCCCAATTTTACCCTTTATGTTAAAGTTGGTAGGGAGCGAATGGATCGCGACGCACTATGGAGCGCGTTTAGTTACTTCGGACCTGTAAAAAATCTCGATGTTGTGCCTGCTAAGGTACGTATCTTTTACACGAAACTCTTATTTTAATTATTACTATTTTAATTATTCATTTTGATTATTGGATAAAGTCATGTGCTTTTGTGGAATTCTATTCTCAAGATGCTTATCAACAAGCACTTTATCAAAGACAAATTTCTGTTCCTGGTTTTGGAAATCAAACTGTTGTAGTTGAAGAACGACGAGAACGGCGCAAGGACGATAATAACCGATATCGCAATCGGCAAAGACAGTGGTGAAATTGAACTAGAATGGTAATTTCACCAGCATCTCTAGGTAGAGTTATGACAATTATTAACATAATTATGGTCAAGCACCACAATACACATAGCGAGGCGAGTTTGCCTAAAAAATTTTTTAACAATAGCGAAATGTACCTTTCTAAAAAATAATTTAAATACCCATGCATAGGCCCGTTATAATGAAGCAGAATGTATGCATTTATTTGTGACTATAGTCCTACGAGTCATTTGAAATTTTTTTTTTTTTTATAAAGTCTGTTAACATTTAAAAAAACCTATTATTGATTATTGATTTCAAGACTATTATTAAATATTAACATCCGATTAAAAATTGTTTATTTATTATATACCATTTTATTGATCGGTTCTCAAAACCGAATATTACTTATTGTGTGGATTAATATTCTTTTGGCTATTTCGGGTTTTCATAGATTCATATCTACGATCCATTCTTCTATAAATTGAATATATGTAAATTATATAGTAATATTTATAAACTATGGCAATGTAGGTATGTTATTTATGAGTATACTCACTTGCGAGAATTAAAGTAACTTTCAACGGCCAATAAAATACCAATCATCCCACATAATACGCCCACTACTACATAAGCCATTCCCAGAAACGGATGTCTACTACCGACAACGGAAGTTGTTGATATTACTATGGATTTAGTACCACCATAACCTTTGACAGGAAAAACTATTAAATATTTCAAAAATTTTTTTAGCACAATTTAAAAATCAAAGTTTAAAAGAAAATATAGACATATTTCTGTATATTTTTTTTTAAACACACCTGTACCAACGTCTATTTGATAATATCCAACTTGTAATGGCATATGTTCGTTCAATCCATATGGTTTTCTAAAAATCGGAAGTCCAGCTGTATGCATCCAAACTTGAAAATGTTCATCTTTTGATGGATCTATTGGAGGATAATCGCTTGTATATGTACCATTTGGGTATCTTTCTACCCAATTTGAAGGTGGTCGAATTTCACTAATGTTATATTCAGTAAGTTTATATTTTGCTGCGTCCGCAGGTGGTGCAATACCGGTATAAGAAAAATTATATGTTAAATTTGTATTTTGTAATGATTCATCGTTTATTAAAGTAAGATTTCCTATGGTATCTAAATGAAAACAACAAATATTAGATAGTATCTTTATATGATCAAAAAGATATTTCAAATGAACATTAAACATACCATTAAACATAGAATTTGCAAGTAATCCACAGGGATATATTATAGTGCCATGAAGAACTCCAAAGTTCTTGCAACCACCACGTTTAATTTTCTCTTTATCTATAATCTTTCCTTTAAGTTGATCTGTATCCAAACTTCTAGCGTAATTTCTTTCATTTTGATAAAAATTTGTAAGACGATAATATAAATATACAGGAGGTTTCATTTCTTTATGTATATAAAAACGAATGGAACATTGAGGAATCGTTTTATTATTTGGAGGAATAGTAATGTTCGATTTTTTCCATCTAGGAAGTTGTTTATCTTTTGGTGGGAATTTGAGTCTCATAGAATCGGTTACATATTTTGAAGGTATTAAACCAAAGTCATTTAGTGCGTCCGTTTCGCAATGTGTATAATCTATAGACAATTCCGAAGCCTATAACCGAAAATATTTATCTTAATAAATAATTTATGCGCCGTTAATTAATTATATAAATTCTCACTTTATCATTAAGATAATACAGAATTCCACCCAATGGGGCAAATATCGCAGCAATTACGAGGAATACTGGAAATACAGTTTTTGGTGTTATAATTGGTTGGAACGCACTCAGACGTTGTTGTTTAAAAGCTGAATCTAAACGTCATTAAATCATCATTAAAATTTGAATCGACGAATAATTCGATTATTTCATAATACTATTTAGTTAATCTATGGCAATTAAATTTTTGAAAGCTTACTTCCAGGTCTACGTTTTTGAGTTATCGCTTCGGTCATTGTTTAAAGAAAATTTTGATCATAAAGTCGAAAAAAGTAGGCCATTCCTATATAAATTAGTTCACTGTTTATATGGGACATTTCATGAAATTCGTGTAACTCTATTTATTATTTTGAGTATTAATTGATTAATTCTAAAAATATTTATTCCAAAATTAGTAGTTTAAAAATTGATAATTCCTGTTTACCCAATAGAGTTAGTAGATAAAATTTCTTCACATCTCTGGCACAAACTTTCTTCCTTATTAGCAGCGTAATTCCAACACCTCGGACACTTATACATACGTGCCTGTCTTATAACAATTATACATGTCCCTTTTATATTGTCTATACTATCAATATTTTTAATGTAGTTAATATCATCTTTAGCGTTGTTATTTTTGATTATAGCTTGTAGTAGTTCTGGTGGTACATTAGGCGTTAATGTTGCTTCGGAGGTGATAAATATTGATTTAAGTTCT